AGGCACCCCGCTGCAATGCCCAGCTATTTTTTTGTTGCAGTTCAGCCAGGGCTGGGTTTGAACCCACCACTCTTGGTATATGGGGCCGGCGTCCTATCCACTGAGCCACAGGTGCTGCCCTTTTTTTCTTTTTTTTTTTGAGAGAGAGTCTTACTATGTTGCCCTTGGTGCTGTGGCATCACAGCTCACAGCAACCTCCAACTCTTGGGCTTAAGAGAGTCTCTTGCCTCAGTCTCCCAACTACAGGCGCCTGCCATAGTGCTGGGCTATTTTTTTGTTGTTGTAGTTGTTATTGTTGTTTAGCAGGCCTGGGTGGGTTCATCCTTGGTGCATGTGGCCAGCGCTGTAACCACTGTGCTATGGGAACTGAGCTTTTTATGTAGGTTTTAACAGTGTTTTTTCTTTTTTTGTCAGAGAAAAAGTAAAAGTATTTTGAGGTGGTGTCTTTATTTATTTTTTGAGACATAGTCTCAATTTGTTGCCCTTGGTAGAGTGCCATGGTTTCACAGCTCCCAGCAACCTCAAACTCTTGGGCTTAAGCAATTCTCTTGCCTCAGCCTCCCAAGTAGCTGGGGCTATAGGTGCCTGCCACAATGCCTGTCTATTTTTAGAAATGAAGTCTCTCTCTGACTCAGGCTGGTCTCAAACCTGTAAGCTCAGACAATCTACCCGCCTTGGCCTCCCAAGAGCACTAGAATTACAGGTGTGAGGGGAGTGTCTTAATTGTACTTGGAATTAATTGTACTTGTATTGTGGAATGGTATTTACTGGCACTTGGTAGGTCTGGTTTGCAGTTGACTCCTATGGTGTTACTAATGTTTCTTAAACTGTAAGCTGTCCCTGAGAAGATGATGTTAGTTTGCTTGAAACACTATGACCCAAGAGAAAAGTCTCAATTTCAGAATAGAAGATATATTGCCACTTGTTTTTTCTCCCCGTCCTTCATGTATGTTTAATTATTACTAATGCATTTTAAAATTTAGTGGTCACTAAAACACTTAAAATGATGAGATCATTTAATGCAAAATTTGAAAAAAAAATTAAAGGCTTACAGGCCATCAGGAGCTTTTTCCATTACTGTTTGGATTCTATCAATTTTAATTATTTCAATTTTTCTCTGTGCTACTATTATAAATTTCCTATCTCAGGCTTTATGTGTTGAAAATCTTTGGGTTTGCAGCTTCATCCGTGGTTCGTGTGTTCATGCTCCAGATGTGTCAATGTCTCTTAATGGTCTCTTTATATAAAGGCTTCCAAATTATAACTTTCTGAAAGCAATTAGTAAACTTGTTTGCTTGTGTTTGCCTGTTTTGATCATTTTCCATGTAAGTTGCCTTTTAGAGTATACAAACCAACGATGAAAAGACCATAGTACTTTTTAAAATACATATATAGTGTTGTATTATTTATTTTACTAGATCTGGAATTCTTACTTTGGGAACACTTAAAACTTAATGCAAAATCTTAGCATATTTGTCCCCCCATTTTCATAGATCAAAAGGTCTGTGCTACCAAGAGGCCATGATTCATGTTGTTTGAGGACTGAGTTCATATGTGATCTTTTAGCTTTCACAGTGCTCAATAGAGTGCTTTATAGATAATGGGTTCTTGGTCAGAAGTAACATGATTATAAAATGAGTGTGTGAATAGGTATCTGAGATTTATTAATTCTTCTAAGAAAATTAGTACAGCACACCTGCCAGATACCAGGGTGCTATGAAGAAAACTAATCAAGTTTCTCTTCTCATAGTTTCTAGTGAAAGGAGATAGACAGTAAATAACACAAATACATATAGTTGCTAAAAGTACTTATATATATATTTTTTCTTCTTCGAGACAGAGTCTCACTTTGTTGCCCTTGGTAGGGTGCTGTGGTGTCAGCACCAACCTCCTTGGGCTTAAGTGATTTTCTTGCCTCAGCCTCCTGAGTAGCCGGGACTACAGGTGCCTTCCACAATACCTGGCTTTTTATGTTGTTATTGCAGTTGTCATTGTTGTTTTAGCTGTTAGGGCCGGGTTCAAACTTGCCACCCTCAGTATATGCGGCTGGCACCTTACCCACTGAGCCACAGGCTCTGCCCCTAAAAGTGCTTTTGAATTGTTTGACTCAGAAAATTCTACTTTTGCTGAAAATAATGTCCGCTTTTAAAACTTAGAACAATTGGCTGGTCTGTTTTTGTTTTTGTTTTTTAACAACAGTTTCAAGAAATCTTTAGGATGGATATAAGAAGCAGTTGTAGTTTTTATTTTTTCTTTTCTTTTCTTTTTTTTGAGACAGCCTCAAACTGTCGCCCTAGGTAGAGTGCTGTGGCGTCATAGCTCACAGCAACCTCCAGCTACTGGGCTCAAGTGATTCTCCTGCCTCCGCCTCCCAAGTAGCTGGGACTGCCAGCGCCCACCACAACACCTGGCTGTTTTTTGGTTGCAGCCATCATTGTTTGGCGGGCCTGGGCTGGATTTGAACCCACCAGCTCTGGTGTATGTGGCTGGCGCCTTAGCCGCTTGAGTCACAGGCTCTGAGCCAGTTTTTATTTTTTCATTTTGGGTTCTTGATTAACTATCAACTTCATATTTATAAAATGTATTAGGAAACTGACTGGAAGTTCCTAGTTCTTCAAGCCTCTCTTCTAAGATAGGTACAGGAATGTTGAGTTCCCTATTCTGCCCTGAACCTCCAACTTAGGACTCTGAAAGAATTTAGTAGGACTCCTTTAGGGTATCAACTCGGAAGTTCAAGGGAAAGGAGTAGCTTGGTCCTGAATACCATGGATGGTATAGTCACAAGTACTCCCTATCTTTAGGACTTGTTTTCTTTCTCCATCTTTCAGTAGGGCAGGCAGTTTGGTCACTGAAACTCATACATGAAAGCCCCTTGACTTCTGACTTTTACTGATTTACCCAGGGCTTGGTTCATAGCCTTGAACAAATCATTGATGCTCGTGGAATGGGTATTTGGATTGCTTTGGCATGAGTCACACAGTCACTCTGCTTTGTGTGGGCATGTGTAGGAAAGAGTGTGAGGAGACCATGTGTAGGAGAGTGAACACTTAAAAAGAGCACATGGCTAGTGTGAGAGGTGGGCATGCGTAAGAGACGGTTGACAGGAAGGATGTGGGGGGCGGAGCACATCAGGAGGAGACGGGGACCCTGTTAAACCACATGGAATAGGTTCTTCTCACAGAAAAGAGTGGCTTGTAGACATACACCTTCCAGAAGGGGATGCTTGGTAGACCCTGTAGAGCAGTGGTTCTCAACCTGTGGGTCATGACCCACAGGAACTGTATTAAAGGGACGTGGCATTAGGAAGGTTGAGAACCACTGCTATAGAGGGAAAGAGGAATACTTGGAAGTGGTTATCATACATATGTGAACTATGTTGGATGCCTGTCATTGTGAGGAACATTACTTCTAGAACAGGGAGATTTACTATAAACTTAACCAGGTTGGAAAGCCACTGGAAACTAAGGCAGCTATTAGAGCAGGTCATGCTGTTTCTTATATATGCCTCTTGGAGAGCCTCATAGTTCTGAGTGTCTTTTTATTCTTTCTTTACTGACTGGCTACCTCTGTTTACCAATAGATTGATCTTTTTTTTTTTTTTTT